ATTAGCTGTGGGGTGGAAGGTTCCTAACTTCCCAGGGAGGAAGCTATCATCAGCCAGAGACAAATTATAGCATAGGGGGCAGCTGCAAGCAGCAGCAGCAGCAGCAGTAGCAGCTGTCAACACTGCAGTTGGATAGTGGATGCACTGGCCAAGCAAAGGGGGTCAGGCTGGGTACCAACAGTCCCCTGGCTAAGGGACCTCTGAGAGACAGCTGAATGAGTGAAAAGTATGTAGATTGCTGGCTCATTGGCACTAGCACATTCTAACCTGAGAGAAGGTCCTGCCCACAGCCCGAGGCTGCCCAGTCACCACTGCAGGGACTGGAAAAGGGTCCAGACACCCAACCCACTGGAAAGGACTCTACTAAGCAGGTCCCTGCAAACCCAGTGTCTGCAATGTGTTGGACTATGTGGATGGGAGCTTCAGGAAAAGTTCTCATCATTCCTCATAATATCCATTTTGCAGATGGGAAGGCAGAGGCTTGGAGGAACGGTGAGGCTCCAGGAAGGTCATATGAGAGGAAGAGCTGGGATTCAAACGTAGGAGTGACTCCCTGCCTGGCTCCTTTTCCCCAGTGTTTGCATGACTTCGGAGTTTAGCCCTTCTTGCCCACCAAAAAAGAAAAAGTCTAGTGAATCCAGGCTCACCTCTCTGTCCTGTAACAGGGCTCAGCCAAACTCAGAGTGCCCAAGAGTTACATCTGGGATTTGCAATAGTTGGGAGGCCCACATGTATTTTGCATGTCATTTGCATAATGGTTGCATCTGGTTTACATGTGTCCATGTTGAGAGCAAATCAGCACTGCAGAAAAAAATATATTCATATCTATCTATGTTATATATAGTGCCAGTCCTGGGGCTTGAACTCAGGGCCTGGGTGCTGCCCCTTAACTTTTTCACTCAAGGCTAGCACTCTGCCACTTGAGCTATACCTCCACGTCCTGCTCTATGGTGATTCATTGGAGATAAGAGTCTCACGGACTTTCCTGCTAGGCTGGCTTCAGATCACAATTCTCAGATCTCAGTTTCACGGATAGTAAGGACTCTAGGTGTCCATCAGCACAGCAAAAGTTTTTTTTTTCCCTGCTGCTTCTAAGTCCCTCTCAACCCCATGGAAGTGCATCTGAGCTTGACAGAGTCAAGTTGCCATGATTTCTGAGTTCTCCCTGGTTTTCACCTCTAGACTGCACTTCTGCTTACCTACATTCAAGGGTCCTGGGCAAGTCATCCTCGAAGAACTCCCTGCAGCCTCCTGCCCCAGAAACTCACGTGCATTTAACTGTCATTTCACTTGGATGGTGCAGGTGTAAATAAATGCTGATTAGGCTTTGAGTGGTCCTGGTGCTGATGTTAAGGAGAGGATGAGACTAAACAAAGAGCCACTGCTGCTCACGACATCCAAAGGTGCCCCCTGTGCAGGGACCAGCTAGACACCCTATGAATTAAAAGCCTGGTGGGGGGAGGGTTAGGTGGAGTCAGGAGTCTGTTCCATAGTACAGGTTCCTCTACCAGTTGGCATGGGGAGTGGAGGGTGAGTTGGGGGGATGGGGGGACAGACAGCACCTTTCTGAGCAGCAGGGAGGGATCTTGCCAGGAAGCTGACTGATTTTGACCTTTCTGTTTCTTTTAGGAGTGCTTCCAGTCACAAACTTCGTATGGCTTTTGATGATCTTATTTGATGAGCCCTGAATGAAGAAGAGGCATGTGGAAAGGGGCATCTCAGGTCCCTGGGATTGCAAGCAGCAGAGCTCCCAAGCTCACTCAGTGTCCCCGGATCCACTCTCAAATCTGCTCTGTCCCCAAAGATCCAGTTCTTTTCTTTTGCCCACAAAGGAAGGAGGGCTGCTCCAGTTTCTAGGACATGTTTCCCCCTATGTGGAAACATAGGCTCCACAGGGGCCCTAAAGGATTCTTAATGTGAGTTTACTTGCATGTCCAGCTAGGATGATCTTGTCATCCAGAAAGCATCCTTGGTTGATCCTGGAGAGGTGTTGCATCTATAGTCACAGCTATGAAGATGGGGGCTGGAGGGCTGGGGACAAAGGCATCTGGATATGGCCATGCACGTCACATGAGTAGAAACCATACTCCTGTGTGTGGTGTCGGCCTGTCTCCATCCAGGTGGAGAAACTCCTGTCTGAGTCAGGGAGAGCATTCCTGTCTGCCTTCCTCCCTTCCCTGCCTCTGGCCTCCCTAGGTTTCCTGTCTGGCAGATGCAAAGTGGCCTCTCTACAGGGAGACCCCCAGTCTCTGGCTGCATCCAGCCAAGACCCTGAGTGAGCATCTCCCTGTACGGACGTTCTCCCACCTCCACTGGGATGGGGCCCAGACCCTGACTCCCCAAACTGTTCCAATTAAAGAAGCCTGATTTGATGTCAGCCACCTGGGGGAAAGGGAAGTGGGGTCCAGCTGTCCTTTCAGCCCCATTACTTAGGCATTCTCAAGTTCAAACAGGGTCCAGCCTCCTTCCTGTGAGTTGTGGGCCCCACATCTGGGGCTGGGGAAGGGAGTAAAAGGAAGGGGTGGGACCCCTTGGAAAAAGATCACAGCTTATGGGGTAGGGGAGTTTTCTCTCAGAACCAGCTGGGTGGGGCTGCCAAGCAGTCAGAACCCAGCCTGGGGTTGGGCTCTGAGTATTTCTCCTCAGATGTCTCTTGCTTTCTGAAAAGCAGAAAGGCAGCGGCTGTAGGTCAAGAGCATGTGTAATGAGTATCATGAGTGAATAACACCTCTGTTAAAGGTGAGACAATGTAACAGAACATTTGGTGGATTGTGGGGGAAGGGAAGGATACAGCCTTGTCATTGGCATCATTTAGTTGCCTAACCTATTCAAGCTAGCGCCAATAGTGGGTTATTAGAAGCAGATTGGGAAGTCACAGCTTGCCACCAAATGACAATGCTCCATATTTTTTTCCTGAACACCACAGCCTCTTGTCTCTGGCCTGTCTCCCTGGCCAACCATGCCCCTCTGTTCTGCATAAGTCCTGCAGAGCTATGCCTATAGCATGCCATGGGGTCATCCTCTCTCCACCCCCAAAAGTCCCTGTAGTGGGCTGAATGGACCCCTCTCCTCCTAAACTGTCCACCAGGGTCACAGAATGTAACCTTATTTGGAAATAGCAAGGCTGACATATTTACTTAAGATGAGGTTATGATGGAGTCTCAAGTTCAGTGACTAATGTTCTTAGAAGAAGAGGAAAGGAAGCCAGGTGAGGTGGTGATCACTTACAATCTCAGCTGCTGGGGCCAAAGAGGCAGCACATTCTCGAATTTGAGGCCTGCTGGGGCAAAGTTAATGAGACTCTATTTCAAAAACGAAATACAAACTAAAGGGCTGGGGAGCATGGCTCAAAGGGATAGAACACTTGCCTGGCTTGTGCAAGGCCCTAGGTTCAATCCCTAGTACTGCAAAAAGACAAGAGGACATAGAGACCCAGAGAAGTGTTGTGAGGATGGAGGAAAGAAGACTCGCATGAGGACAAAGCAGAGATGGCGGTGGTGCAGCTGCAGGCCCAAGAGGTCAGATTGCCAGTACCTGCCAGAAGCTGGAAGAGGTAAGAAAGGATTCCAGTAGAAGATGTTGCCTTTGAAGCCAGGAAAGGAGACTCGGGAGGAGCCAGTGCTGTAACTCCTCCATCTCTGACTTCAGCCTCCAGGCGGTGGACAATAGGAGCTTGCTGTTGAAGCCCCTTCCAATGTCCTGTGCCTTCTACAAAGGCTTGTCAACAATTTGTGAAGACACAGAAAGCTGCAGTCACCTGTGTGGAAGAGAGAAAATGCTACCCTGGTTCTTGTTTTTGTGCCAGTAACTGGGGCTCAAACTCAGGGCCAGAATGTTGTCCCTTAGCCTTTTTGCTCAAGGCTAGCGCTCTACCACTTGAAGCACAGCTCTCCTTACAGCTTTATGGTGGCTAACTGGAGATAAGAGTCTCCCAGACTTTCCTGTCTGGATTTCAAATCTTTATCTTCCGATCTCAGCCTCCTGGGTATCTATGGTTACAGGCACTGATCCACCAGCACCCTGCAGAAGTACAATCCTAGGCTGTTGAAGACGGAGTGGATCAAAACACCCCTTGCAGGTTAGGAAGTGGAGAAGATAATGAATAAAGACAATTACAGAAGTCCACTTTCTGGTTCTGAGAATCACTTTCACCAGTGAAATATGGAGGAGGAAACTTGGCTTCATGATGCTCCTGCTGAGAAAGATTTTTAAACGTTTTCTTTGACAAGAGAGGCTGAGTCCTACACCAGGTCCAGGGCCAGGATGACGGCGAGGTGCTGGTGAAACTCAACCTGGGTCCCGTTACCGAGGCGGAGGAAAGACCTGGTCACCAAAGGTTGGCAGAGGATGGCTGAGAAGAGCAGTCTGCAGAGTTATCACCCCCACCCCACACCCCCCAACGAGAGTGCGCCCAAGAGGCGCTTGGAGAGGTGGTCCAAATACTGTCCTCTCCGCTCTAGATGCTGCCCTGCAGGGATGGGTTTCTAAGATCAAGGTATCCTGCCATGGAGTGGGTAGCTCTTTGGGGGAAGAAAAAACAAACAACCTCAGGGCTCTGGCTTCTCTGATTGTTGCCTGGTACCCGCAGGTGACCTGTCGCCGAGTCTGGGTGACGTTCTGGGGAGGGGGGTGGGGATGGCGCTCTGCTGGCCCGCGCTCCCGTTCCCTTCTTAACCTCTCGCTTGCAGCCGGCGTGGGGCGGGGGTCTGGCAGCGGAGGAGGGGGCTGGCGGAGGAGAGCGGCGCGGCCCCAAGTTTATGCTAATCCGCGCAGAGCCCGCCTCCTGCCTCCCCTCTGCGGCCCCAGCCGCGAGCACCGCGCGGCGGCGCCCGGCGGCCCAGCGAACCGGGGTCGGGGGTGGGGGCGCCCCAGGGCGGCGGGACCCCGGGCCGGCCGGCGGAGGAGGGGCGGCGCAGCGCAGTGGGTCCGAAGGAGGAGCGGGGCGGGGTTGGGGGGGGGCTGGTCATCGCACGGGGCCAGGTGGAGACCAGGGGACCACGATGAGCCGCCGCCGCCTGCAGGTCTGGCTGTGCGCCTTGGCCGCGCTGCTCTCGGGGGCACAGGCTAAGGGCACCCCGCTCCTGGCGCGGCCCGCGCCTCCCAGTGCCTCCCGCTACAGCCTCTACACGACGGGATGGCGCCCGCGGCTGCGCCCGGGGCCGCACAAGTAAGCGCGGGGACCGTGCAGCGGCGGGAGGGAGGGAGGGAGGAAGGGAGGGAGGGTTAAGGCCCACGCGGCGGGGCGCCACTCCCACCTGCCCGCACCATGCCTGGAGGGGGTGTGGAGGGTGGGGTGGGGCTGGGAGGCGTTGAGGTCCCCAGGATGCCCGGGTAGTGGCGCTGAGTGGGCCATGGATGGACTGGTCCTGGTGGGCGCCCCACTCTCCAGGAGACTTGGCGAAGTAAAATCAGCAGAGGGGTCCTGGCGCGGTGTCTGGGATCCTGGCAGTGCCCGCGGAAACCTTTCCAGCAAAGTAACATTTTCCAGCTGTGCTGTGAGCAAACTCCAGCGCAGAGGACCAGGTGGAGGGAGAGGAAGGACTGTCCTGCCCTGGGAACGCGTGGGGGTTCTTTCCCCCCCCCGCGCCCCCCCAGGCCTTCTCTCTCTCTCCAAGGCCTTGCCAGGTAGTAGTAGGTCCGTGGAGCCCTGCACCCGACCGCTAATACCCGTCTGTGGCCAACCTGGCTCCAGAAACGCTGTGTGGCTGCCTGAGTATCTGGTGGAGGCGCTGGTGCCATGAGCTCTTTTTGTGCCACAGGCAGGCATCCACCCCCATTGGCTCGTATCTGAAGTTGCACTCTAATTACGTTTGAGAGGTACTGTAGGATGACAGCGCCCAGCCCACGGCCACCTTTAGTGGGCCTGAGCACACCACAGCAAGCTTTCTGGAGGAGGCGGCAGAAAGAACTGGTAGTTCACAGGAGCTGGAAGGTTGCATCAGGGGAGGAAGAAAGAGAAAGCTGATTTCAGAAGAGCCACTACGTTGGGGGGCAAGGGGAAGGGGGCAGATATCAGAAGCCTTGTAACCCAAGATAAGGAGTTTGGGACAGGTGAAGGAATTGGAGAGTGGAAGATGTGCCAAAGCAACTGCTCTAGAATCCACGCAGGCAGAGTGGGCAGCTATACCAGGTTGCTGGTTCTTTGTAGCACTTAACCCAGTGGGCCATGGATCAAGGACACAAGTAACAAAAAGTCCAGACTGGGCCCAGTCCAAAGATACTCCACCCCGGGCAGAGGCCCTGGCTTCCAGGAACAAGGAGAACAGACAAAAGAGACGTGGGTGTGTGAGTCTTGATGGCCTGCTGGGAGCAACAAGTGGGGGAGAGAGGGAGGTGGCCTTAGAGGGCCTGACTCAGGCCCCCTAATCCAGGTACCATTTTCCCCTGTAGGGCCCTCTGTGCCTATGTGGTACACAGGAACGTGACCTGCATCCTACAGGAGGGAATAGAAAGCTACGTGAAGGCCGAGTACCGGCAGTGTGGATGGGGGCCCAAGTGTCCTGCAGCAGTCACGTGAGTACACCCCTATTTTATCCACTTGCACAGCCCAAGCCCTTGTTTTACCTCTAGCTGAGAATAGAGCCTACTCCACAAGGTGCTGCCATTCCTTGGATTTCAAAGAGCCCACCAGAGCCCCAGGAAAGGAGGCTAGGTAAGACTCCTCCCACCACCAAGGTTTTGAACTTGGGACAGGGACTCACCCCTGGAGACAGAAGCAGGGTGAGGAAAGCCCATGAGATCAACAGGAGGGTCCCCAAGAGAAAAGCAGCACAAGCCTAAAAGGAAGTGGCGGAATCTGGTGAAGGAGAGGACAGTCATTCAGATAGTGGTTGATGCCACAGGGGATCTGGGAAGCTGGAGGGAAGACAGTGACCCTGAGAAGGAGGGGCATACAGGAGAGGTGGGCTTCCACCTGCATCCTCCATTCACTGGGCTCATAGGCCCTAAAAGGCCTCTCCCATTCCAAAGCAAAGAAACCCCTGGGAACTGGCGTAGAGATGGAAAGATCTCCAGGCTCTATGCACACTTCCAAGAGCAGCCCTTAATACCCACTAGGGGACAGGAATCTTTGTCCACAGGTTCAAGATCCTGCTCTCTTTTCCTGCTACCTAGGTACCGCTCAGTGCTCAGACCCAGATACAAGGTTGGCTACAAGACAGTGACAGACCTCGTCTGGCGTTGCTGCCCTGGTCTTGCTGGAGAAGGCTGCCCTGAGCACCTCACCGATCATGGGGCCACTCCACCCCAGCAGGAGCCGGAAGCCCAGATTCTCTCAGGGCAGCCAGACCCAGGCCCCAGGCCTCCTCCCTACAACAGAGCAGCCCCTAGTCCCCATGGTGAGTCTGCCTGTGGACAGCCTAGCTACTCAAGAGACTAAGATCTGAGGATAGAGGTTCTCAGCCAGCGGAGGCAGGCAAGTTGGTAAGACACTTATCTCCAATTAACCAACCAAAAGCTGGAAGTTGAGGTGTGGCTCAAGCAGTAGAGTACCTGCCAACCTTGAAAGAAAAAGCCAAGTGAGAGCCTGAGACTGCATTCAAGCCCTAGTACACACACACACACACACACACACACACACACACACACACACACAGAGGCATGCATGCACGCACGCACACACGCACATGCACATACACACATTGGACATAACACATAATCTACTACCGGCATTCCTATTTGATGGCTCAGAGCCAAGGCCTCTGTGACCAACAAGAAGGTAGTTTTGAATAGAAAGCCTCTTGTGCTATCTGGCAGTGTGACACATTGTGTGAGCCAAGCTGATGATATTTCTGGGGTCTCTCCTTTTTCCTAGGAAGGAAAGGCCCAGGGCTGTTTGGTGAGCGGCTAGAACGCCTAGAGGGGGATGTCCAGCGCCTGGCACAAGCATATGGTACTCTTGGTGGCCTGGTGGCCAGCCATGAGGATCCCAGTAGGGTGACTGGTGGCCCGAGGGCTCCCGCTGCCCCTCCTGTGGGCTTTGGGGTCATCCCTGAGGGGCTTGCAAATCCCAGAGATGGAGCTGGAGGGTCGCTCCCACCTCCCCTGGGTGAGATCCTGAGCAAAGTGACAGAGGTGAGCAACACGCTTCGGACCAAGGTGCAGCTGCTGGATAAAGTGCATGGACTGGCTCTTGGCCATGAAGCCCACCTGCAGCAGCTGCGGGAGGCGCCGCCGTCCCCTCTGACCTCCTTGGCACTGCTGGAGGAGTATGTGGATAGACGGCTGCAACGACTCTGGGGGAGCCTCCTGGATGGCTTCGAGCAGAAGCTGCAAGGTGTCCAGAGTGCGTGTGACCTGCAGGTGCAGGAGGTGAAGCAGCAGTGTGAGGAGGGCCAGGCGGCCAGCCAGCGACTACACCAGAGCCTCGATGGCCGGGAGTTGGCCTTGCGTCAGGAACTCTCACAACTGGGTACTCAGCTGCAGGGTCTGAGCGTGGCTGGAGGAGCCAGATGCTGTAGCCAGCTGGCTTTGATCAGTGCCCGTGTGGACAGCCTCGAGAGGAACTTGCAGGCAGTCACTGAGGCCCAAGGAGGCCCAGGCACTTCGGCTAGGGATGAGCTTTCACGCCTCTCTGCTGCTATGCTTGAGGGAGGTGTCAATGGACTCCTCGAGGGCCTGGATGCCATCAATGGGACAGAGAATGGAGCTAGAGGTTGCTGTCTGAGGATGGAGATGGGAGGCTGGGGTGTGGGTGGCTTCGGGGCCATGCTGGAAGAACGTGTACAGAGCCTAGAGGAGCGTCTGGCCACACTGACCGGGGAGCTAAGCCCTGATGGTGCTCCAGCCGGAAGGCCAGCGCGACCCCTGGTGCAGACAGAGCTGGCAGTGCTAGAGCAACGCCTGGTGTCTCTGGAGACATCGTGCACCCCCAGTACTACCTCAGCCATTTTGGACAACCTTGTAACCGAGGTGAAGGCCTGGCAGAGCCGGAGTGAGGCCCTTCTACGCCAAGTGGCCAGCCATACAGCTTTGCTCCAGCAGCTCAATGGCACTGTGGCAGAGGTCCAGGGGCAGCTGGCAGAAGGTACTGGCAGCTCACTCCAAGGCGAGATCACTCTGCTGAAGGTCAACTTGAACTCAGTGAGCAAGTCACTCACAGGCCTCAGCGACTCTGTCAGCCAGTACTCAGATGCCTTCTTGGCTGCCAACACATCCCTGGATGAGCGAGAACGCAGGGTAGAAGCTGAAGTCCACGCTATCCAGGAGCAGGTCAGCAGTCACGGCTCCAGGCTGCGAGCTGGACACAGGCAGGTCCTGAGCCTGCAAGGGGAGCTGGAGCAGCTCAAGGCAGGTGTGGCCGATGTGGCTGGGGGCCTGAGCCGCTGCCAGAACACAGCTCAGGAACTCCAGCATGCGGTGGGCCACTTTGACCAGAGGGTGGCACAAGTAGAAGGCACATGTAGAAGACTGGGCTTACTGGCCACCAGCCTGGACAGCTTGCCTACCGAGCCGCTTGGGTCCAGAGAGGGCCTATGGAGCCACGTAGATCAGCTGAATCGCACACTAGCCCAGCACACACAGGACATCGCCCGCCTCCGGGATGACCTGCTAGACTGCAGGGCCCAGTTAGCTGAGCACATGAGGTCAAGGCGAGCCAACTAGGCACATCGGACAACATCTGAGCTCCAGATCCTTCCTACCTACTCTGGGAACATTAAACCTAGAGCCTAGCCTTACCCGGCAGCACTTCCCAGCCTCCCCTGGCCAGCCTAGAGCTCTATGTGATTGTCCCAGCCATCAAGAGCCATCCTCGGTGCTGCACAATTCAGGATAGCGGTCAAGACAAGGCCACCATGCCTACAGACCAGGCTGGACTAAAGAGACCACACACACATTCTCTAGTCTGCAACTTATTTGTCTGAGAGACACATCCGCATGGATAACTGTGTTAAGATCTCCAGGCCCAGGCCCACACAGAGGCCAGTCCACAGCTCCCTTTGCCTGTCCACAAGGCAAAGCAACCCTTGGAGGCATCTGTTGCTTTATCCCTTGGCTTCTGTCCCTACAAGACTAGAAGGAGGTTTGTGTGGGAAGATGATCTTCAATGGAGCCCCTCTCGTACTTGGCAGCTTCACAGATGCTGTTTGTGAACCAAGGACCAGAGGCTACCTGAGGTTCCCAGCCCCCCCCCCACATTCTTCAGGACAGAACAGAAGCAGAGACCCAGCAGCGTGCTCTCTGTATTCCCTTTGATCTTCCCTCATGGTGAGGGTGTAGGCAGCTGTATATCCCCAGAGGAAAGAATTGGATCCAGGCAATTTGTTTGGAGACTCTGACCTGATTTATTTGTTTGTCTCATTTTTCCCAAAAGAACAAAGTTTCCTCTTCCAGCTGGATACTGGTGGCTTACACCTTGTAATCCTAGCTACTCTGGAGGCTGAGACCTGAGGATCACAGTTTGAAGTCAGCCTGGGCAGGAAAGTCCATGAGATTCTCCAGTTAGCCAGCAAAAAGCTGGAAATGGAGCTGTGGCTGAAGCGCCCAAGCCCTGAGTTTAAGCTCCAGTACTGGCACACATGCATACACACACACACACACACACACACACACACACACGGGGAAAAATCTTTTGCTCCCCTCCCCCCAGGTCAGTACCTCTCTGCCAAGAGCAGCTTAAATTTATGTCAAGGCTAGGAGGCGGCCAGACCCTGAGAAGGTGGCCATAGCTGGAGGAGAAGGGTTCCAGGCATGCTGTTAATGCCCTTGCAAAACCCTAGTCCTGCCAAGGTGTTTACACAGTGCTGAGGAATTCAGGTACAAAACCATCCAAGGGCAAGTGAAAAACGCAAGGATTCCTCCAGCCTGCATGGTTCCCAGAGGCTCCGTGACTCTGCTGAAGCACTCGGCATCACTTCTGACCACTTCTGACCCCTGCTGTCTTCAGGTCCCCACAGCCCTGCCCTCTGGGTTCTGGACATTTTAGTGTTGTGACACAACACTGTTGGAGAGCAGGTTCTGGATTAAAGCTTTCAGTCTGAAGGTGGTTTCTTCCTTACAGCAGTGGGGGAGGGGAGACTGCTGGAGTTGGTGCCCTACACTCTGTAGAGCCTGGGCCAAGAGCTCTGGGCTGGGAATGTGGCTTGGAGGTAGAGTGCTTGGCTACCATGCATAAAGTCCTGGGTTCGATTCCTCAGTACCACACACACAGCAAAGCTGGAAGTGGTACTGTGGCTCAAGTGGTAGAGTGCTAGCCTCGAGCAAAGGAAGCTCAGGGACAGTGCCCAGGCCCAGAGTTCAAGACCCAGGTCTGGCAAAAACAAAACAAAAAGCTCACTCTGCAGCACTGACCTGACCAGCAGAAGCTGGGGTGAGGGTGAGGCAAGCACAAGCCATATTCCCTGAGCCTTTACGTGGCCCCTGGTCACCTTCACTGATGTGAAAGGTGCACTGGGTGTCCAGGCTTGGGCCTGAGATACCAGGGCACCAGCAAGGAGAAGCAGATGCCTGGCTCAGCTGTGGGGGCAAGGGGAGGGCCATACAAGAGCCTGGCTTTGGAGGGTTCAGTCTAGGCTTCCAGAAAGGAAGATGTGGGGGCAGTTGCCTTCTGCTGCCGCCAATACCTCTTCCTTCTTCCTCCAGACTTCAGGACTCGGTGGCGCTTCCCTCTTTGCAGGAATAGAGATAAGGCTCCAGGGTACAGAGAGACCCCTGTAAGGGCCTAGGTGACAGGCATTTAATTGCTACAGGTAAGAGGAATGTTGAGGCCTGTGGCTTAGGGAGGAAGAAAAGGTGTCTGGGACCTGACTTCCAACCCCCTAATCCTCCCAGATTCCCAGTCAGTCCTGGGCCTGTCCAGGAAGGAGGAGACAGGGCAGGCTCAGACCAAGGCATCAAAGTCCACAGCAGGCAGTGGCTCCCGCCAGTAGCAGAAGTTGCTGAACTCGGGGTTGGCCAGGTCTGTGCTGGGACCACGAGCTAGAGGTGGGAAGAGGAGCTCAACCACCTCGCCAAGCCGCTCATACCTGTGGGCAGAATGGAGCAGTCCTGACCCCCTGAGCGCCAGGCCAGAGTTGATCCCCACAGGTGGGGAACCTCAGCATCCATTCAGGATCTTCCCACCGGAGGAGGTGAAATGGGAGTCTGGGGAGAGGCTGGGACATGGCAGGGCATGGGGGATTTGTGGCCTCACGTGGATTTGTGATTCTTTATGTGTTCCTGGCTGAGTTCTCCCCGAGGGTTGACTGTGAAGATGCGGGACTCGGGCAGTCCCACCTGCTGGTAGGCAAAGACATCCTGTGGGAGACAAGAGGACTAGGGCAGTGGTACGCAGGCTGCTGGCGCGGGGGGGGGGAGGCTAGATGGGGTGCAAACATGGGAAAGGAGCACACTCACATTGGGCCTGTTCCCAAATGCGGCATAGAAGGGTTTTCCGTGGGGCAGAAACAGCTCCTGGATGTCACTCAAACAGGCAACTTTGAATACCTCTGGCTTCTTCTCAATTACCTCCCTGGGACAGCCATGGACATGGATAGGGAAAGGGGTCCAGAGAGAGGGGCTAGGTCAGATGACACCAGATGACACCTGGCCTAGTCCCAGCTGATACCCATAGTGAACAAATGCCAGGCCTGCATTGTGCCCGCCCCCTACCCCCAAGGGCTTGTGGGCTTGTGAAGGTCGGTTACCTGTGGAGGGCGGAGAAGAGGCTGCTGGGAGACAGCAGGATGGGGCCCTTGGGGAGGCCGCAGCCACCCTCGCTCACCCACTGCAGGTACCCCTTGGTGAGGTCGGCCATGCCAATGGCTCTTGCTGAACAGTACAGAAACTTGTACCCATTTCTGGGGGCGGCAGGGACAGGATGGTACAGAATTACAGGCGTTTGGTCAGACCTGTCCTACCTCCTCCCTGTTCCCCACCCTGGCCTTCAAACCCAGAGAGAGGACTTTGCAGGAGAAGGGACTTAGGGAAAATAGTTAGGCCCAGTGGGCCAGAATGGAGGACAGCTTCCCCTAGCCAAAGCCAACAGGTGGGCAGCTCATGCGAACACTAAGGAACAGGAAGAAGGCCTCAGTGCTCCACAGACCTGTCAGGCTGCTTCTCTTATGAGCCCTGCTGGTCCCCAAGTCAGGATGGCCTAAGGCATTTGCTTTCTTCTTCCCTCCAACTAGAAATCTTGCTCCAGACCCAGCCCAGCACTCACAGGTGGATTTTGTGGTAGAGACTAGTGATGCCCTGGTGCGTCCAGTCTTTCCCCAGCTGGGGCAGAATGTGGCCCAGTGCGTCTGACCTAGAGCAGGGAGAAAGAGTCACTCCGGCTATCCTGCACGGCTCTCATGTTCCACAAGTGTGACCCAAGGGGGCCCAGCCCCTATCCCCAGGATAGCCCACCAGAAAGAAAGGGACCATGCTGCTCTCCCCCCCACCAAGGTCAGAGAGAGGCATTCTCCATATAAGATCAGCTGAGGCTCACTTGGTGATGGTGCCATCGATGTCAGAGATGACCACCTTGTCGTCCCATTTCCACAGGTAGATGGTGGCCTTGCAGCGGCAGGTGCCCTGGTACTGAGTGGTCACGCTGAAGACCACATCATTGGCACCTTCATGCAGGTTCAGGCACCGCTGGAGCCAGACAGGAAAAGGTATCGTGTGCTGCTAGCGCCAGGCATTGCCCACCCCCTCTATAACCACGGCCTTTGATCTCCAAAGGCCCCTGGTTCTCTTCTTCCTCCAAGCTCAGAGACCTTTCCTGAACGGACTGGTAGACACACAGAAGATGCTGGTCAGATGCTTCGCATAGCACTGGGCCTGGAAGCTGTGACCTCCCTTTACTCCCCTATGAGATGAATATTAGACAAGCCATGCCTGTGACTCCCTGCTCAGATTTCTAGTCAGTCCCAAAGCTGGGGCTGTTCTTGGCATGGAGATACCTCATTGAAAAATGGAATTGCCTTCCAGTAGGGTCTTCACAGGGAGCCCCTTTCTGGGGCTGGGCTGCCCGGCTCACCATCCTCATAAAGAGAGACCTATCTCTGAATGGGGTCCATAGAGAAGGATGGTGACATCTATGCCCTGGCTCACCCTGAAGTGGATATGAGCCCCACCAGACAGATGACAGTTGCTCTGTACCCATCTGGCTGGACCCTCCTGACCTCCTCTCTCTCCTTAGGAAGAAAGTATGTTGCTACAACAGACTTCACCCATTACAGAGCTCAGGGAACACATGACACAAAGCATTGGGGCTGCCAAAGTCTAAGGGGCTGTGATCAGCATTGATTCCTTGAGTGTCGTTTACAAAGGCCAACCCAGAACCAGCCCGTTTTTTTGTGCAGGTAGATATAACAGAACCTATTTCCACTTAGAGGATCACACAGAGAAATGAGATGGCAGGTAGAGAAGTGAGCTCCTGCTCACTTCTGCCATCAGGAACGCTGCCCAGAGGATGGATGCTCGCCTTTGGTGACCTGTGTCTCAACTAGGTCCAGAGGAACTCAGGGACAGTTAGCTCTCTGAGTTAGTCCCTGAGTTAGACGGTCCCACCTCCTACACACACACACACACACACACACACACACACACACACACACACACTTACAATCTGATCTGAAGAGAGGCGGAGGGACTTCTTGTAGGTAGGAATGAAGGCTGGAGTGGGTAGGGGTGGAGAG